TTGCTGAGGAAGGAGTCCGGGGTTACAGGCTGCCGAGGATGCTGACATTTGCTGGAACTAGAATCAGCTCAGCTAACTCAGCCACAGCAGTTCACAGAACAATAAAACAACTTCCTAGCCCCGGGCAAAATCGCTCTGAGAGCGTCCATTAGCATTTCCCAGCAGGTCTGCCATCTGGAACACCTCACATACCCACCCACGGGTAGGTACCCAGACTTCTGGGTCAGGCACCTGTCATCCCAGCTCTTCGGGAGGCTGAGGCGGGAGGATCCCCTGAGCTCAGGAGTTCAGGAGTTCAAAGTTTCAGTGAGCCATAATTGATTGCGCCACTGCACTCCAGCCCGGGTGACAGAGTGAGACCATGTCTCAAAAAAAGAAAATAAAAGAAACCTGGACTTCTGCTGGCCTCTGTCAGTTGACTAGCAGGCGACTCCTGGCAAGCAGGAAAGAGCAGAGCGGAGCGGAGAAGCAGTGGGAGTGCTCAACTCCGTTCACTCTTATGCCCAACGGCCCTTCGGCAAAATTTCACAAATTGTACCATCAAGGGATGCTGATTGGACAGGCCAGCTGGGGCTTCGGATATTAAGTGATTATGATAACAATGAAATATATAATATAGATGACTTTATTTCAGAGGATACCTTGGAGTCACCCCACCATTTCCCCTGCACGCTGCATGGTATAGAGAACAGCTTTTTCAGTGAAAACTCTAAAGAAATGGAAACTACACTTTCATTCACAGATTCATTCAATAGGTTGTCTATTTACCATGTGCCAGGCCCAGCAGGTGACAAGGCAAATAAAATACACTTGATGCCAACCCTCCTGGTGGCTACAGTGGTCCACTCTACATATGAGTAGAATAGAAGGATGCAGGAGAAGCAGCTGGGAGATGGGTAAGGGAGACTTTTCTCCAGTAACAATCTTGTATCTTTTGAATTTTGAATCATGTGAATGTATCAAAAAATAAATGTAAGTAAAAATATTTTACAACTTTAAAAATAGGTTTTACTAGGCTGGAGCACTCGAAGTGGAAAGCAAACTAACCTTTTACTGAGCGTTTACTGTGAGCTAGACCTTCAGCCAGGTGCGGATATGTACATGATGTCTTTTAATCCACACAACCCTGAACAAGAGGCAATATCATCCTCATTTTTATCCTCTTTAAATGGAAGCTTGCCAGGTGCAGAGGCTCACACCTGTAGTCCCAGCACTTTGGGAGACCAAGGCAGAATGATCACTTGAGCCCAGGAGTTTGAAACCAGCCTGGACAACATAGTAAGACCCCTTCAGGTACAGTGCTCATACCTATAACCCTTGCACCCTGGGAGGCCAAGGTGGGCGAATCTCTTGACTCCAAGAGTTTGAGGCCAGCCTGGACAACATGGTGAAACCCTGCCTGTACAAAAAATAACAAAAAATTAGCCAGATGTGGCACCACAAAAATGGCGATTTTGGTGAGCTGGCACGCCTATAGTCTCAGCTACTAGGGAGGCTGCAGTGGGAGGATCGCTTGAGCCCAGGAGGTGGAGGTTGCAGTGAGCCGTGATCACACCACTGCACTCCAGCATGGGCGACAAAGCAAGACCCTGCCTCAAAAAAATAAAAATTAAAAATAAAAATAGCAAGGCATGGTGGTGCCTACCTGTTGTCGTATCTATTCAGGAGGCTAAAGTGGGAGGGTCACTTGAGTCCAGGAGTTCAAGAGCAGTCTGGGGAACATAGCAAGACCTGGTCTCTATTAAAAAAAAAAAAAAAGTAATAAAAATAAAAATAGATGGAAGCTTTGGGAGGGTGAGGATAGTCGCCTGTCTGTCTGGGTAGTTTCCCTTGCATCATGCTGCCCCTGCTGAAGGAGGCAGCACTTGAAACGGACAGGACCAAAGAAAGTGATGAGGGTGGAGGGAGGTGTTTTCTTCAAGGGGCAGAGCCAACTTGCTCTGACTCTATCCCTCCTCCCCGTGCCTCTGGGCTGCTAGGGCCAGTACATAGAGACACACCCCCAGTTTGCTCCAGAGGTCAGATTTGTTTCTCTCTGCCTTGCTGAGCTCAGGGAAGGAGCTTGCAATGTGGTTAACAGGTAATCGGGTGACAGCCTGAGCCAGCAGTCACTTCTGTGGCTGGAGGAAGATACGTCCCTGAGCCCCTGGCTGCCTGAGGAGAGGTGGTGCTTGCTGTGTGCTTTTCTGCTGGGTGTCAGATGTGCAGCTTTGTCTGCCAGCTGGAGGCTGGCTGGAGAATTGTTTTTCTGATTGTCTGACCCAGGTTCCTTACTTGCACTTAGAGGAAAAAGCATCCAAACCCTGGTACAAAAGGTCCTCTTTTCATTTCTTTGGAAACAGAGCAGTGAATGAGCTCATTATCAATGTAACCCAAAAAGGAGGAGGAAGGGAAGAAGAGAAGGTGGCTGTTCCCCATGGCCTAGTCCTGCCCCTGGCCAGGTTTCCTGGGGAAGGGGCTTGGATCTGGCCCAGAGTGACCGAGGCCAGATGGCTGGGACAGGTGGTCCATACTAGGGGCAGTGCTGGAGACATTGGATGGTTTCAGACTAGTTTTCTCTGCTGTGGTCCAGAGGAGGGACAGGTGTCTGCCCCTTCTCATCCCCTGAACACAGAGCTCTATCCAGGACTGCTGCCCTCCAAGAAGCAAAAGACCTTCCATTCAGGTGTAATTGCCTGCCTTCCCAGAGGTTCCTATGTGCAGGCACTCTAGAAATAGTCCTCATTCCCCAGAGCTGGTGGTCATACAATATCAATCATCTGCTGAATGCTTATTATTTACCAGGCACTACCCTAGGCACTCAGGGTAGCATGGAACAAAGCTGGCAAATCTCCTCTCTCATGGAAGTTAAAGTCTAGCATGAGCAATGAAATGGCCAGGTCTGGCCTGTGATTGCTGCCTCATCCCAGTCTCTGCTGGTCTGGGAGAACTGCTGGGGAGTGAAACAGAGATGCCTCGAAAGGGAGGCTCTTTGGTATTTCTAGCAGCTAAGCTCAGACTCACCATCTCACTCCATTCCGATCCAATACTTCAGACCCTGTGGGCTGGGACCAGAGAAGGCCTCTCTTAGATCTGAGCAGCAGAGTCCTGATACCTTGCAGGCTGGTGCTGGTCTGGGAAGCATCTGAAAGAGACCTGGAGGTCTCAGCCCCTAGTGGTGCTGGTGGTGAGCTGGCAATGTTTACCCCAAGCCTAACTGCCTCTCCTCTTTGTTCTTTCTTCCATTTCAGATTGAGAAAATCATGAGCTCTATCGGAGAAGGGATTGACTTTTCTCAGGAACGGCAGAAGATCTCAGGTACCGTACCGAGCAGCCATTTTCTCCACAGACCTTGGCAGTCTGGCTCCTTCCTGGCTCGGGCTTTCCTCTAACACAGAAGACACACGTTCAGGGGGTGGGAGAGGTCAGCTTCAGACCACATCGTGCTCCTACAATTCACAGTCTCCAGTATCTAGACAGCCCCATTTTGCTATTATTTTTAGAGCAATGCCTCCTTTTACATATGGGAGGGGAAAAGGTACAAAATGAATTTTAAAGCTGCCTATTATGAAAAATTTTTAGATGAACAGTCATCACTTACTCACTATTTTATGGGCTTTCTTAGATCGGCTTAGATCTGAGTCTTCCTTAGCACTTACTGTGAGCTAGACCTTCAGCCAGGTGCTCTATGTACATGATATCTTTTAATTCACACGACCCTGGACAAGAGGCAGTATCATCCTCATTTTTATCCACTTTAAATGGAAGCTTGCGAGGTGTGGTGGCTCACATCTGTAGTCCCAGCACCTTGGGAGGCCAAGGCAGGAAGATCACTTGAGCCCAGGAGTTTGAAACCAGCCTGGGCAACATAGTGAGACCCCCAACTCTACAAAAAATAAAAAATAGCTGGGTACAGTGGCTTATGCCGTTAATCCTAGCACTCTGGGAGGCCAAGGTGGGCGAATCACTGGAGTCCAAGAGTTTGCATCCAGCCTGGACAACATGGCGAAACCCCTCCTTTACAAAAAATAATAGTTGGTCTCTGCAACTTCCGAGGCGGCTCTTGTCTCATCCATGACAGTGGCAGAGCATTGGGTTAGACCAGGGGGTCTCAGACTTGTAGCATGCATGTGAATCGCCTGGGAGGGCTGACTGTGCTGTTTCCTCTTCCCACAGCTCCCTGTGCCTCAGTTTACTTCGTCACTTACCATTCTTACACTATGTCACTGCTACTTTGGTCATTCTTTTCTAAGCCCTAGTAGTGAGGTCAGCTTGTTTCCTTTGTTTAAAACAGGGAATAGGGAGGCCACCTGAGCTGTTTTCTCTGATAATAGGATTGCGCTATGTTGCTTTCTCAGGTGAGATGCTCTTAAAGGTGCCTCTCAAAGCAGGTCTCACGTTCCCCCAAGCATCCAAAGATGGTCTGGGCACCAGGGCATCCAGGCTGAAAGCAGCCCAGCCAGGAGCCTGGCCTCTCTCACCCTCATGGAAATGCCTCTCTGCACTGAAGGGGGCGGAACTTCTTGCTCACTCGGGAGGCTCCATCCAGGATTGACCTGTGAGTCTCGGTGGCATCTCTGGTTCTTCCATGGGCTTCTGTGGCCCTGGCAGGAAGTCATATGGGTGGACTTTGAGTGTGCACATCAGGGAGAAAGGAGCATGGGAGACCACAGGGCCTAGTGGGGATGGCCTGGTCTCTGGAGCCTCACAGCCCTGGGTTCAAATCTTGGCCCTAGAGACATACATGTCTTAGCAAGTCACTTAATGTCTCTGCACCCTTCACCCCTCATCTGCAACCTTTGGATAATAGTGTCAACCTCACAGGTTTGCTGTGAATCAGTAGCAGATACAAATACTTCAGCTAAAGAGATATTCAGTAAATAGTAACTGTGTTTATTTTTTTTTTTTTGAGATGGAGTCTCACTGTTTCACCCAGGCTAGAGTACAATGGTGTGATCTTGGCACTGCAACCTCCGCCTCCTGGGTTAAAGCAATTCTCCTGCCTCAGCCTCCTAAGTAGCTGGAATTACAGGCATGCGCCACCATGCCTGGCTAATTTTTATATTTTTAGTAGAGACAGGGTTTTACCATGTTGGTCAGGCTGGTCTCGAACTCTTGACCTCGTGATCCGCCTGCCTCAGCCTCCCAAAATGCTGGGATTACAGGCGTGAGCCACTGCACTGGGCCCTGTGTTCCTTTTTGTCCGTGAAATCATTCCTTACTCATATCAAGAAACCTAGATGACAGAGGCTTCTGCTCCCTGGCTAGTCTCCCTCCATCAGCTTTCAGTCTTGGTTCCTGGAGCCACCATCCCCTCCGCAGCAGTGTTTCCCTGGGTTCTAGCAGAGAGGGCTGAGCTGGGCTTGGTCCATTTTTATCAGTCTCAGGTTATGCTGGAGTCTGCAGAGGTGGCTTTTCTGTCTAAGTTTGTGGATCTGTTTTCAGCGTCTGTTACTTTCAGTCAAACGATCTCATGCTCTGTTGTCGTTTGCAAGCTTTTCCAAGGGTCGAGTGTTTATAGGAAATAGATGTTCAGGACTGAGACAAACACGGTTACCATTTTCAAAGCTGTGCTTTGACGACAGGGATGGGATGGATAGCTGTCAGTTCCATGGAGGATGCTTTCTGCTTTCTGCATACAAGGAGCAGGAGCCAAAATCACTTGCATGTGCTTGAGAGCTGGGAGTCAGAAATAGCCATTGCCTCTTGGATTTGCTAAGCCAGGCGATGTGGCAGCACCTCGGGAAGAGCCCTCCCCTTGGAAGTGTGAATGCTGAGCTTTCCCTTGACGTCTGGTCTCCTGTCTGATCCCACCTACCAGTTCTTGTCCCCCATAAACCCATATGAGTGTGTTGAGAGGCAGTCTGCCTCTACCCTTGGGTTTCTGGATCCCAGCACACAGTCTTGTTTTAGTAGTCATTTTCGTGAACCATCCTCTATAGTTCAGCTTGGGAAAGTCAGGAGCAGGCACATATGAGGGACCACCTAAACAGAGGGTTCATCCACCTGTGCTGCAGAATGCCAGGCTGCTGTGTCTGTACCACTGCTAGGCTCTGAAACATAGAAAGGATGGGCTCAGGCCTGCCTGTGAACCCTGTCTGATGGGTCAGGAGAGGTATTTCTCCAGGATCTCAGGGAGTACCGTCTTCAGCTCAGACCAAAACGGAATCACTGTTTATTTTGACTGGTCAGTACCAGGGTTCAGATTGTCCTTGGGCTGGGTTTCAGGATCAGGGAGAAAAGATCTGGGCTCTGGGGTCAGCAGCCTGGGTGGAGGAAGAGCAGGCCCTCCAGCTGGCATCCCTGCAGCAAGTATGGGATTGCCCAGCACCGCTGGTTTTGCAGAGGCGCCCACACCCCCACCTGAAGGTCACGACCACAGCATTAGAGTCTCAGACCTGTTTTAGGGCCATGGGCCCCTAGGCTGCCACCACTGGAGCTAGGTAGCTGAATCCCCAACAGAAGCATTTACAGCCAACTCATCCCTGTGCCAACTGCCATTCTCAGGAATCCAGGAGGGTGACCTTTCCCACTGGCCCAGGCCGCTTTGGCTTCTGTCAACAGAGGCCTCCATCAAGCAGAAGGGAACTTGCTTGGCTGTCTTCTGATAGAGCCAGCCATGTTAGGTGTTGAGTAGCTGGTCAACCAGGATCCTTCTGGGGCCTGATGAGAACTCTCTTTGCCAGGGCTCGTCTACAGCCTATCGGGATACCAGTATCTCCCAGCATATTTGGAGGATGACGTGTAGTCCCTGGACTTATGTCCCTGTACCTATTTTATCTTTTTTGCCCGTCTGCATCTGTACTTGGGATTTGGGCCTGATTTCCCCTTGTCCTTGGCCATTGCTGTCCTCCCCCAGAGTGTGAGTGGCTTGCTCTGGGGATGGGGCTCTTCCGCTGGGCTCTGACAGGCCCGAGAGAAATCTGTCTCCAATTTGTTTGGCATACTTACCTAAGGAACATCAAGTGTAATGGCCGTATTTCATTGCCTGTTTTTATGATGCAGCACAGTCATTCCAAAGTGGCAAGTTGGGGCGAGGGGGTCACTTACCTGTGGGCTATGCCCTTTGGGGCTGGTCATTCCTTTGTTCTCTCCTGGCTGTCCTGGAAACTGTCTAACAAAGCTCTAGGAGCGTTCCCTCTCTATTCTTCCTGACAAGCTGTTTCCAGCCCCTGGAGCTGGAGGTAAAGTTTCATATCTCCGCCCTTCATACGCGTTTGTGCAGCCAACATCAGATATTGGGAAATCTGTCATTTTGCCGTGTTGCTAGTGCTGCTGTCTCCTTCTCCCTCAGCAGCCACAGCAGCAGCCACTTCTGCTCCGATGTGATGTCCGATCCCTGATGTATTTTCCTGAGCTTGGAAGGGGGAGGGTGAGGAGGGGAGGAAGGGGAGGGCCAGACATTACGAGAGTGAGCAAGGACTGTGGAGCCAGCAGCAGGCAGCGTGGAGCCCAGGAGCCTTTAGACAAAGCATTCTGCTGCGGCTCTGTCAGCGCGCACATCCTCCGGCAGCAGGCAGGACCACAGCTGCCCGGCTGGGGGATTACAAGCAAGAATGAATCAGCACCCGGGGACACTTGACTTCATGGGCATACGAGAACCTGCCGCTTAGGCTCCTGGAGCAGACTTCCCCATTCAAGGGCAGAGGAGCTCAAGTATTCCCCCAGACTTGGCATCTTGGAGTGCTGCAGCAGCGTGCATCCAGAAGGCCACCGGGTCCCTGACACCATCTGTTCTGCAGGAGACAGAGGAGAGGGAGTGGAGGCTGGCACAGTTGGTACCAGGGTCTTGTAAATAACGGAGCAAGTTGTCATTGTCCTGCCCCAAGGGGCAGAAAGTACCTGGGAACGGCAGAATGACTTTCACCGTGTCAAGAGTTCACTGGAGGTGATGTTTTTGTAGTTGGTTCTTCTTTTTCCTTCCTTGTACCTCTTTTTCCTTCTCTTCTTTTTTCCTTCTTTCATCTGTTCTTGCCCACAAGAATCAGAGAAGTAGCTTGGGGTTCAGACATCCAGCTCAGAACATCCAAGGTCTGCCAGAAAGGGCCGAACTTCTGTCCTCCCTGCGCCACTACGATCCCTATCCAGACGGAGGAGCAAATAGATATCCTCCCTTTCCTGCTCATCCTTGGAGGAAAACGTCAAGATCCGGAGACCCTGGGATGACTGTTGCTGTCTTCATCGCTTAGCCGAAGAGAGAGAAGCGCAGGACGTGAATAGACTTAAGCTGCCACAGCTCAGCTGACGGAGGACCACTTCCTTTTGCTATCGCTTTTATCTGGTTGGGTTTTGTCTTATTTAGCCAAGAACTGAATTTTCCTGCCTGTTCACCTGAGCAGGCAGGTGAGTCACAGGAACAGCTACTATCAGAAGACGAAAATGAATGCCCAGACCCTGAAAACCAGCCCAACCCAAGAAGGCAGCACTTTAGACAGCGCACTGGCCCAGGAGACGCCCTGCTCGCCAGCCGCCAGAGTCTAGCTGTGGACCGGGCTCCTGGCCCGCTGGCCGCGCAGCCTGGCGGAATGCGATGCTGCCATCCCAGCAGAGCCACACCTGAGCCCGACCCCCCGAGGCCTGGCCCATGTGCCCCATTCAGCCCCTTGCTGCCTTGAACCTCTGAGTACAAAGGGCCGGTGGCCATGGTTTGCTTATTCCGGGACTGCTGGGGGAAAACAAGTAAAAGTCTCTTTTCTCCCCCTGCCGTGTTCTGTGCTGCTTGTGTTGCATGTGCTGGGTCCTGGTGAACAGCCGCTGCTGCTGCTTCCCTCCCGGAGCCCTCGCTGTGTGCCTGTGTCCCTCAGCTGCATGAAGATGTGTGCTCTCTCCTGACTGGTTTATGCTGCAAGGTCGCAGAACTTGCCCCTCGCCACAGCCCCGTGGGGGCTCCAGAAGTTGCATGGATGAGAGGAGCAGCGGGGCTCATGGGCACTTAGCAGCGCCCTCAGCCCCCTCTAGTGCCTGTGGGGACAGACTTTCTGAAATATCTCAGCGCGCACGCTGATGAGGAGTTGACCCGGAGACTGTTGGGGGTTGGCTTCCCCCAACCCCGACCTGTGGGCAGAGACCGTGCATGTGCAGCTGTGGCCCTGGAGCAGCTCAGACCTGGGGGTGTGAGTGGGCAGCAGCCGCCCGAGGCTGGGCAGTGTGTGGACAGCACCAGGTGGTCCTGTCCTTGGCTGTACACAGAAGAGGAGCTGCGTGTCCGCTGCTCTCTGGTCTCTTGTATATAGTTTGGCTGTTTCATGGTAATGACTATGATGTGGCAATGCCATCTGTCTTCCTCTGAGTGCCGCTGCTACCGCCTTAATGGTTTTTCCCTTTTCAAGCGTCTGCCGATTCCTCTCTCGTCAGGTTCGCGGACGCTGGAGCAGAGTGTCGGGGAGTGGCTCGAGTCGATTGGGCTGCAGCAGTATGAGAGCAAGTTGCTTCTGAATGGCTTTGACGATGTCCGCTTCCTGGTAAGTGGCTGCAGGTCTCCTCGTCGGCAGGGTGCTGTCAGTGGACACAGGCCCCACAGGAGTCTGCAAGAGTACGTAGACCCGAATCCCAGGGAAAGCTCACTGCGGTCACTCAGACACCAGGAAGTCAGCCAGGTGGCGCGTGCCTCCTTTCCAAACTCTCCCTCTCCCTCCGCCCCAGAAACAGCTCCGGAGAGAACTCTCTTTGCAGATCCACATCCCAAGAAGAAGGGTCAAGGCTGGGCACCAGGAGTTTTATTTATTTTTCAAAACTTTGTTGTCAAGTGAGTTGTCGGTGAAGCAAAGAGCCTTGCCTCCGGCAGAAAGACCCCTTCCCTGCCGAGCCAAGGCCCAGTGCCTGGGCTAGAGTCCAGGTTTACACAGCCCCATGTCCCCATGGCCTCAGAGATGGCCCAGAGAAAAGGCTGAGCTGATGACTTGGAGGGTTGGTTGCTTCTTTGAGAAGCTCTCTCACAAAACACAAGGGGCCAGAAAAGAAAAGAGAAACCAGGGTGTTTCCTCTGGATCCCTGTAGAATAGGGATCCAGTTAGTACCCTGGGCTTAGGATCTGGTGCACCCTTTGCCATTTCAGAAAGTAGCTCTGAGCAGGGTACCTGTCACTGTCCCTCTCTTGGAAGCCCTTCCCGCGGCATCTGTATGGGCCAGGCCTGCCCCCAGGCGCAGGCATTTGAGTCGCAGTTAATGATTGTGGTTGCTGACACTTCTTACTAGTGCTTACTGTGTGCTTGCGCAGTTCTTAGTGGCTTGCATAAATTGGCTCATTGAATCTTCCCTGCAGCCCTGGGGTGTGGGCTCGTATCAATCTCCGTTGCCCAGATGAAGGAAATGAGGTAGCGTGGCTAGGTCGCTTGCTCAGGGTTACACTGTCAGTCATTGGCAGGGTAGAAATGTGCATCTAGTGCTCTGGATCTGGGGAGCAGGCTCTAACCACTGTGCTGTACAGCCTCTTTCTTCTCTGTGGATACAGGGATGGGGGCACAGCTACCTATGTGCTTTCTGTCACCTTCCAGCCTGAGTCATCTTGGTTTGAGTTAGCCCTGCCCTCTCTGAGGGGATCTCTCTCACCTGTGCCTGCCTTGCACGGCTGTCTCGGTTGAGGGGCCAGGGTCAGAGTCAGCACGCAGCTCATACTGCTTGCACTCTGTTCTCCACTGGGGGCTTCTGAGGGTTTCTCACTGATGGGGTTGTGTTTGGGGCCTCCTAAATAGTGGCCTGCCCAGGGAGCCGGCTGAGACTTCCAGGAGAGACCCAACTCACCTAGAGCCATCTCCACCTCCAGGGAAGAAGATACTGCAGTCTGCCACAAAGCACCCCTCCCAAGCTGGCTTTGGTGCAGTTAATTTTCAGCTTTTAGAAATCTTAAGTTTTAAAACAGCAATTTTTTTTTCTTCTTAAAAGTTAAACTGAGTATATTTATGGTTCTTGTGACCTAACCCCTGACTCACCATGTTCCTTGGGGAAGGATGACAAACTCAGGATGGAGTGCGGGGGGAGGGGCTCAGGCAATGCATGGGGACCCAGGTTGGCCCTGGCTCAGAGCATTGAGGGGCCTTCCCTCTCTCAGCTTACCCCTTCCTTAGGCTGGCCACCGGATAGGCAAGTGAGGGGGGTCTTAGGGTGTTCCCTCCCTGTACTTTGAGATGCTAGAGGCTGAGCTGTTGCTTCCCATCCCTCCTCCTGCTGATTTGGGAAAGGACAAGGCTCCTACCCCTCAAATAACCCAAGACTCCTTAGGACTGGGCCAGAGAGCAGCTGAGCAGGTGTTTGGAGAAGTGTGGCCTTGGGCCAGAGCTTCATGCATAGGGCAGGGCCTCCGTAAGATGCGTCTGTTCCTATGCTGGAAGGACCCTCATCGAGGGTGGCCTGCAGCTCAGTCCTTCTGGGGGCTCTGGCTGCTAGCGGGTGGAGTCTGTGCGAGAAGGGATGCCCAGCACGCCTGGCTGAGCCAGGACCTCAGATACCTGGAGTGGCCTGAGGAGCTGTGCACAGCATCCCGGGTAACTGCATGTGAATGGCCAGATGGGTTGTCAGGGAATTATGTTTTAGCAGCCCGAAAAAAGGAAGATGGAAACATGGGAAGGGGAGCATTTCTGTTATTGAAATATTCCCTCATTGCATGTGGTATAATTTGCATCGCATTAGCTACCGTCTATCCCATGTCGTTAGGTTTTCAGTAGGCTACAGACATTTCCCTTGGTTCTGAAATGCCCTGGAGACTCTTCTACAAAATGCACAAGCAGCTTCCAGGAAGCCAGGCTGGACGTGTCTTAGGAGCATCTGGAAACTGAGGCTGTTTCACAGTCAAGGTGTTGCTGTGGGATTTCCCTGTGACAGGGTCCCGAGGACTGTCATAGAAGTACAGGGCATATGTGCACATCACACGGCTCCCTCTCAGGGTGGAAGGAACTGGAACGTCCTGTGGCCTAATTGTCCTCTCTGCCGAATCCCTTCCAGATAGTTTCTGCCATGATGGTTTTTTAAAGAAGTCACCCATTCATTCTTTGCATTGTGCGGCTGATTTGGAGCATTCTTTATATTGAGTCAAAATCTGTTTCCTGTGATGTCTGTCTCTTGGTCCCAGGTTTACCTTTTGGGACCACACACAACATGTTTAAGCCCTTCAGAAAATTGAAGACCTCTGTCTTGGCCTGCAGGTGTCACATCCCCTTATTCTTCCTCCTGTGATGTGGTAATTGAGCTGGACAAGCAGGCAACGTGAACTGTATCCACACTCTCTTGCTTACAGACAGAAAGGGCCTTTGATTTAGAGGGGCAGGGCCAGGGCAGTGGGGGCTGCCAGGTGCTCCCTAGGATGGGCAGAACCGACAGCAGACACACAGGAAGAGAGGGAAAGTGGCTCCCACACCTGCCAGCCAGTCCGAAGGCCCACCACACTGCACCTGCATCGTAGTTGGTTCCATTTTCACCACAAATCTTATCCACAGGAAATGGGCTTTCTTAGGAGAAGGGAGGAAATGCAATGCATTTAATCAGCGCAGAAGGAAGGTAATTGGTGGTTGGCAAATGTGTAGCTCCGGGCATGCTAGCGCAGGTTTTGTATGTGAAGACTCAGCCTGACGCCCTTCACAGACGTGTTGATTGAATATACGATGGCGCTCCTGATGCTGGAGTGCTATGTAGACATTAAAAAAAACATGTTTTTAAAGAATTTCTAATGTGGGAAAATGTCCACCTTGTAGTGTTGAGTGAAGAAATTGACATAGAAATTGACAATATGATCTTAATTTCTGAAAAAGAAAACATGTATGCATAGGGGTGCAAGGGAGTAAGTCAGGATGTTTTCAGTGGCTAGCTCAAGAGGACTCCAGGTGGCTTCATGTTCCTTTTTGGAGTGTAATAGTTGCTCTCCGTTTCCCACCATGAATGGATGTGTAATCAAAAAAGCAAATAACATAGGTGTCATAAGGAACTTGATGGTCCAGCTGGGATAACAAAGCACACAAGGCAATGAAAACAACACAGCGGCCAGTGTTCAGTGCAGCACAGGCTGGCAAGCGCCGCCAGCAGAGGGAGGAGGCCCGGACGCCAGAGATGCTGCTGCTGCCCAAGTGGCACAGCCAAGTCCAACCTCGAACCTCTGGGTTCTGCTGTCTGTCACAGGGGTTTTGTAGAGACGGTGGGACCTGGAAAGATCACAGAGAAAGGAGAGGCCTGCGGGGGGCCAGCCTGCCTGTGGTAAGTGAGGAGGCTGCTGGGGGGCAGTGAAGGGCAGGGCCCTGACAGCTAGGCGGGAGAGGTGGCTGGGCCTGACCTCAGGGCTCTTAAAAGCCACGTGTGGGAGAGTCCCAAGATCTCTGAGTCCTGAGCATGGAGGGATGATCTGTTAGTGCCCCACACCAGGCAAAAAGCCCCTTGAGTGAGGCACACTTTAGACATCCAGGGCATGGTTGAGGGCCGGTGTGTGGCAGGCTGTCATGGCTTGGGGCAGTGGACAAATGGAAGATGGGAATGAGGCTGGCAGCCGGCTCAGGATGGACTAGAATTGTACGCTGCATCAGCCAGGCGGGATGGGAGGCCTCCTGTTCCTCCCGTCAATTTCTTTCTCTGCAGGTTCCTGCCACGTGGCAGATAGGCCCCTGCTGTCTTCCTGTCTGTTTCTGAGGCGGTGCCAGCTTGTTCCCACGTGTTGGAGAGAGATGACAGGTGAAGAGAGGCCAAAGGCATAAGCTGGGGCCAGGAGGTTCTTCTTTATTGGCTTTTATGAAACTTTCCAACCAGGTCACCAAGCCCCTGAGGTTCCCTTCCTGTTCCTGTCACCTGGATTTGCACCTCACTCTCCAGCCCTCTAAACCAGCTTCACATGAACAGTGGGGCTTGTCATTGCCCCCTTTTGCCTTCTTCCCCCCGAGGCCCAAGAGGCCACTGCCAGCCTAAGCAAGCTGCCGCTGAGCACCATTATCAGAATGGTCATGGCCGAGAGGCCCTCTCCCCAGCCTCTGCCTCCACCCCCATCCCGTCTCCCTGCACAGCACTTTGTGAGCTGACTGCTGTACTGGAATTGCTTGCCCAGTTGAAGCAGAGCCTTAAATAGGAGGATCAGTGGAGCTGAGGCTTGGAAAGGAAAGGAATCCTCTTAGACAAGTGTGAATCCTGCCTCCTGGACTGGCTAAATGCTGTAGTCACTTAAGAATGTCATTCCTCAATATCCCAGGAGTTAATGCTGCACCAGGGTCTCCCTTGGTCTCGGGAGCCTGGCTGAGGGCACCCCTTATAGCAAGTGTGATGAGGGGCAGGCTTACTTGGGGCCTGTTCCTAGCGAGTGCACCTCCTGCTCCTTCTCCCTTTCACTGCCTGACCGCAGCACCTGCATTCCTGGCAAGGGCAGCTGGAATCGCTCGGGAGCCCCCTCTGACTGCCCCAGGCCCTGTTCTGACCTTCTCCAGTCCCCTACACAGTAGAAGGAACTTTGAGAACTTTCCGAATGTCTGTTTTCATGCCTGCTAATTTGACCAACTGC